GTGGAACGACAATAAAAGAAACGAGTTTGTAAATACTTTTCACAATAGTCAAGATCAACTGACCAATATTATGAATGACCTTGAAAGCATATACACACGTGATACATGTACCCAACAAGACATAGACAACGTCACCGCAGAAATAAATGAGCTTTTCCACAATACTGCAAAGACAACACTTTCAAAACCGCACTACAAATCACGAAAGAAACCGAACTCAAAACCCTGGTACACTAATAAATGTCTTTCGTCGAGAAAAAAATTTCATAAAACCAGAAAACGTTATAACGTTTTTAAAAATGAAGCAACACGCAAACAGCTACTCGAGACAAGTAAATCATACAAGATGGTTACAAACCAAGCATACAAAAACTATCAATTTGACTTCGAACAAAAATTGAGAAATACATAAAAGAAACAAGGGAAAGAGTTTTGGAAAATTTTAAATAAATTTGTCACAAAAAAAGATGAGAAATGTGATATATCTGTAGAAACATTATATGATTATTTTAAATCCATGAATGAAATTAATATACATGATGAAATTGATATAGATATTGATGTTAATAATTTACTATCAGATATAGAAAAAATAATAAATTCTCCAATAACAGCAGATGAAATAAAATGTCACGCTGTAAAAAATTTAAAGAATAATAAATCTGCTGGATATGATAACATATTGAATGAATATATGAAATGTACATTAGATGATATGATGAATGTGTATGTAATGTTATTTAACATTGTGTTAGATACGGGTATTATACCAGAATGCTGGACCAAAGGAATAATGGTTCCAATTTTCAGGAATAAGGGTTCTAAATCTGACCCGAATTCTTTCAGAGGTATAACTCTCAATTCATGTCTAAAGTAAAACATTCACTGCTGTGCTCAATAACAGATTAAATAAATTGTCAGATAAAATGTTCTTAATTACAGGAGCACAGGCTGGGTTTAGAAAAGGGTTTTCTACTATGGATAATATTTTTATTTTACATTCACTTATTTCTATCTATTTTTCATTTGGTAAAAAATTATTTTGCTCGTTCATTGATTTCAAAAGTGCATTTGATACAGTTTGGAGAGCTGGTTTGTGGCAAAAGATGCTACAGTATAATATTCAAGGCAAAATATTGAGAGTTATACACAACATGTATCAGAATATCCAGACATGTATTAGAATGGGAAAGGATATTTCTGCATTTTTAATTGTGATATAGGAGTGAAACAAGGGGAGAATTTATCCCCCTTTCTTTTTTCCCTCTTTTTGAATGATCTGGAGAAATTTTTACTAGATAATGATGTAAAAGACCTTGAAAATATATCAGATAAATGCCAAGAAATCTTATTATGTTATGTAAAAATCTTTATAATATTATATGCAGATGACACAGTTATTTTATCTGAGTCAAAGGAGGATCTGCAACATGCATTGACAGTTTTTGAGCAATATTGTAATGAATGGAAACTCAGAGTTAATACAAGTAAAACTAAAATTGTAATTTTCAGTAAAAAGAAATACAAGGTTAAATCAGAATTTAAAATTTATGGTAAAAATATTGATGTCTTAGACTCATATACTTATCTGGGTATTATATTTAATTATAATGGCTCTTTTTGTTCAGCTAGAAAAAAATTATTGGAACAGTCCAATAAAGCATTGTATGCACTATACAGAAAGATAAGAAATATTGCAATTCCCGTAGATATACAGCTAAAGTTATTTGATTGTCTTATTCTACCTATAATGATTTACTCTAGTGAAGTATGGGGATTTGAAAATAAACAGGGACTGGAACGGATGCACTTGCAGTTTTGTAAAAATATTCTGCACGTGAGAAAAAGTACTCCAAATTTTATGGTTTACGGGGAACTTGGTCGTTATCCCATTGATATTACTATTAAACTACGCATGGTTATATTTTGGAATGATATGCTCTCAAATGAGAATAAATTATCTAATATTTTATATGGACTTATGATACAACTTCACCAGAGTAAACCCAAACATTTTAAATCAGTTTATACAACAATGGTTTTCTGTAATTAATAATTCTTCAAGAGGAGAATTCTATGGTAAATTCAAAAATATATTTGAATTAGAACCCTATCTACTACGATTGGGAAATACTGATAGATTGTATATGGCTAAATTTAGATGCTCAAATCTTAAATTCCCAATTGAAACGGGAAGATGGAAAAATAGTTTAAAAGAAAATAGGATATGTCATCTATGTAATCAAAATATTGGCGACGAATATCATTATATGTGTGTTTGTTCACATCCTAGTGTGTCACTTCTTAGACAAAATCTCGTACCTAATTATTACTTACAATATCCTTCAAGGCAGAAATTAATCGGTTTACTTTCATTGTGCAACATAAAGGTGTATAGGAAAGTATGTACTTTTCTTAGAAAGATTACTTATTTGTTGTAGACACAATTTTTATACATTATATATATATTTAGGTACTCACAATCACTGAATAAATAGGAAGATATCTGTACAAATGTAATCCTTTAAACTTAATAGGTAATATATAATGTATATATCTCAATGTCATGAAAATCACGTGCTATTATACATTACTCTGCTGTCGATTTATGTGTATACTTTATCATGTTTTGACCTCTTGTACACGTTTGTGTCTGAGGAAATAAAATATTTTGTCTTTTTTATATTGTAGGCCATACTCCACTGTTGATATCAAATTGCAATCGCCAGAAACAGTACAGTAAGACATGGTCATGTACCACGCCAAGATCAGACACATCCAGAAATTAAATGCCAAAAACAGTGTCGAGCTATAGGTTATCGATGTTTATAAAAGATCCAAAACAACAAAAGTATAATCATAACCGTTATTAATAAATCTATTACTTAAAAATATAAAGTTAAATGGTACGTTCTATATCTATGCCATTACCATAAAAAGCAGAACATCACGAGGGGTGGGGTGGTCTCTTCCTATATAAAGGTATACACAGACGTGCCGCTGGTATGGGTTACTTTTTAGAATGTCTAATATATCAATGGGGTGAAATTTTACGGAGGTTATATATCAATGGGTAATAAATGTTCATCTTCTGTTAAGAAGTATCTAAAAAATATGTTCTGATCTTTTTTTTTAATCTTATAATATGAATGATCCAATGTGGTTAACATCCGGATAAGATGTCATAATAGCTGGAAATACATATAAACTATAAATGGATTGTGATTTTTCTATGAAATATATGAATGGGTAGGGATTTTAGTATGAGTCAATATATCATCGGGGGAGGGGTGGGGGGGGTTAACCCCAGCCGGAAGTCTGTACCCAAATTTTTATGTTGAGAACCCCCGTGTTGAATATGAATTACTACTTTTCATTCCATACCTGTAGTTAAGGTCATACAAGCTATATGGACGACCATTTGATATTCTAGAGGAGAGTGGTATTCGGAGGATTTGTCCAGATTGACTATTTACATGTTGCTTCGCACATACTTATTTTTGCGCGAAATTTGTCGTTCACTTTTGTTCTCAATTTAAATCTGAATTTTGTATTGCAGATTATTCATTGAGCAAAATCATTCATTGTTAGCTCTTACCGGCCATGATATTCATTTTCTGAATCCTACTGCTCCTCCCACCAAATAATTCAATTGATTGTCCCTTAACAGCTGGATAAATCGTGATGTTGGTATCAGTCTGATATACATACAAACAGTAAATATGTGTTTATCGCTTTAAACGTGATGTTGAGGAACAATGTTTTCATTGTAGAGCCACCTTCAGTCAAAAACAAATCGTTTCAATAATGGTGGCCTTTAAACGTGATGTTGAGTAACAATGTTTTCATTGTAGAGCCATCTTCAGTCAAAAACAAATCGTTTCAATAATGGTGGCCTTTAAACGTGATGTTGAGTAACAATGTTTTCATTGTAGAGCCATCTTCAGTCAAAAACAAATCGTATCAATAATGGTTGCAGCTGTGTCATGAACCATTCTGGGGTTCAATAAAACCAGCTCCTGCATATCTTTCCCAGCGGTAGTACTCCGTTGGGCGAAAGCCGTTTATGACGTTATTTTACATAAATACTCTCAACGTCCAACTAAAAAATTTCTACATTGTGACGTCGGCCCCTCCCATCAGTTTCCTCTTTCCTTCACAACGACAGAAAAGAAATACACGCAAAGATTCGGCAATTTTTTAAAAAGAATATCAATAGACCATGGAAGAGACAGGTGTTGTCATGACTATTTATATTCCAAGGATGTATGGAATAGGTTATGTTTTTGATGGAATGTAAGTATGTTAATTACTGGGAATGAAATTATTGAATACTGTACATTTGAATGGTTTTTGTGAAGGACAGGGTGTTTAATGTTTCGACCATAAAAGTTAAGATGCTGTCTTTTGAATACTTTTGTTGTTAAAGACAGATGGTTTCTAACCCCTTATGCTAGTTCTATTTACATCTTTTTTTGTCATGTCTTGTATTGCAGGTTTGACAGGAAGATTATCGAACAATGTGAAAAGAAGATCAGAAAAATGGAAAAGGAGATAAAACTACACAGACAAATTTACGGGCGACTGCAAATGCAACAAAAGGTGATTTTAAAATTCGGTTATAAAAAAATGGCAACCATTCATCATCTTACAACACATGAAAATGTAAAAAAAAAGTCCCAAAGAAATTGTAAAACAAGATCAGAAAAAATTAAATTGTCGGGAAAATTGTAACCATCAAATGTAAAAAAAAAAAAAAGGAAATGTTTAAGCAAGATTTGTCCCTTGAAATTGAAATATGCATTTTCCCTGAAAAGGGACACCAACGAAATTGGTCTTTTAAAAAACTTGACATTTGACAAAAACTTTGCAACACTATAAATCCATAAGATGATTTAATATGCTTTCTGAATGCATTGAGTCAGTGGTTCATTTATACAGATATTTACAGAAGCTATTTAATTATATTAATAAATTCACGTTTCAGGTGTGTTGGCTTGTCAACAGCAAAGTCGCAAAGTACCAAAATTGCTTGGATACTTCAAAGAAGATCTATGATCACATCGCTGAAACTTTAAGTAAACGTGAGGTGCGCGCAAAGCAAAAAGCAATATCCAAGATTCAGAACCATCTTCAAGAAAAGTTAAAGAAAGCGAATACGGCACAACAGAAGTACCAAACTATTCTTGAACATGAATCCAAGACTAGAGCATCCATCAAAATGGTAATTATAAAACATACATAAACATAAGTTTCATCGAATAAACAGCTAAGACCTTAGATGGTTTTGGCCATTTTTAGGGTTTTTTTTTGTCATATAGCTCTTCAACTGTTTCGGTTCTTATACATACTCGGCTTTCAAATATTCGGCTTTGAGCAATCCTTATGAAGGAAAATCCAGAAGAACACTTTGGACGTATGAAATTTTTTAACGCATTGTTTTCATTTAAAAAAAAATCATTTTAAAAATTAGCACTTCACTGTAGAAAAATGTTGCATGAAACACATAATGAGCGTCTCCAACACATGACAGTCTGATACATGATAGACACAAAGATACAGAAAAATAAAGGATATACCACAACCAAGCAAGTGCTTTACATCAAATATTTATTTTTAATGAACTACGTACGAAAAACCTGTATAACAAGAGACTTTTACATTACATCATATTTATCTGGGTTCACCATCTCATTGTAGGGTGCAGGATAAGATAAAGGGGTTTGCTAATAAAGGAAGCACTATTTAATTTTCAATCACTATTTTTTCAGCTTGAACAGGACTTGTTCAACTTGATTGAGCTCCAAGTGAACGACAGGAAACCGACACCAACAGTAGTGTAAGTAAAATGTAAATGAACCGATGCCAGTCAGTATATTTATCTCCTTATCATTTAAGGTAAATCGGTGGCCGAGTGGTCTAAGTAGTTTAACTGCTGTATCACTAGCTTGTCTACACTGAGGTGGTGAGTTCGATTCATTCACGTGGCAAGTGCGTTCGACTCGCTTCTAAATTGACTAGGATTGTCAGTTTTCCTGCCAAAGGCCGGTGGTTCTCTCCGGGCAATCCGGCTTCCTCCATCAAAAACAAAAAAAAAACAAACAAAAAAACTTACGACCACGAAATAGCCAATAGTGTTGAAAATAGAAAAACAATCAAACAAACAATCAATCTCCTCATTTTAGACAGTATGTTGACCTTTAATTCTTTTTTGTTGGGTTATTGTCACTAGACATTTCCTACATATCTTCTTCTTCGTATGTAACAACAGCTTTAAAAAAAATCAACAATGACAAAGAAACACAAAAAGTAGGGAAACAAAATGAAGTATGTACCCTATGGAAAATGCATTACAAATCATTGTGCTCTTGTAACCTACAGAACATACCTATTGTATCAATTTTAAATGTTTTCTCGTCCTGAACATGCATTAAATAGTTGCCGCTGGACGTTAAACAAGCAACAATCAATCAACCAATCGTAACATTAGCATTTGTAAATGAAACAATGACAAAGAAACATCAAAATAATGCAAATAAGATGAAACATGAGTTATAAATGTCACGGTCAGCAAACAAACAATACAGAAGAGGGAAGAAAAAAAAATCCATAGAAAAAATATAGATGGGTGATAATTGAACATACTTTCCAGAGCTCGCATTTCCTATCATGATTTCCTTGATAGAGGTTTGCTGCTTTCAAGGAAGCTATCAAACACTTCCCAGTGGTGAAGTTGAAATCATTCTTTCTAAAATTTTACGCACGCCATCATGAGTTGGTTGACCTCTATGGAATATCTGTTTTACAAATGACGAGTATGTTTCAATAGTTGTCATCATAATCCCGTCCTCTTTCCTCGAATAAGACTTATCACCGGGTTTGTACTTACATGAGCAACATTGCCACGTGTGGAGCAAGATCTGCTTACCCTTCTATAGCACCTGAGATCACCATCGGTCTTTGTGGGGTTAGTGTTGCCGTCTCTAGTTTTCTGTGTTGTGTATTGAATATTAATCATATTTTGATCGCTTTACGATTTATGAGTTTGAATGTCCCTTTGTTATCTTATGTGATCAATTATGGATTCCATATTATTCATTTTATTTTAATTCTAGAAAGATACATACAACCATCTCAGTACAAACCCTTGTGCAAAAAATGAGCAGCAGATACCAGTTTACTCTTCCTCAGGTTGGTTCATTCATTTATTATCCTCATGAACATCTATGTCATGTGACTGAGAATTACAGCATAAATCATTCATGCGTTAACCAATATTGTCAAACGGTAAATTCTATTTTAAGGTTCATGTGGACCCTTTGGTTAAAATGGCTGCATTTTCACCTCAAAATTTACTCTGTGTACAGACAAACCTGTGTATCTGGAAAAGTTTTTAGGCATAGCATGCCCTAGATAAATAAAATTCAAATATAATCTATGTTTGAGAAAATTAGAAAAATAACAGGATTTTGCCGTGCACTTTTTTCAGTCATTCCTCCAGAAGATGCCTAAATAAACTAAGTTGGGAAAGAGGTTTGAGAACTTCCCCACAGGTAATAATTGAAGTGAACTGTATTGATTGAATTGGACAATAGGTGGACAATAGATACGTGACAATAATTGGTGATTTAAACTGTGTACCTGAGTGGACCATATCAAGTGAAACTCAACTGTTTGTTAATTTTATCATCTTCTGCAGGGACGAAAAAAAGTGCACTGCAAAATTCAGTTAAGTTTTAAATTTTCTAAAACATACAATGCATTTGAATTTTATTTATCTAGCGCATGCTATGCTTTAAAACTTTTCCAGATACACAGGTTTGTCTGTACACAGAGTAGATTTTGAAGTGAAAACACGGCCATTTTAGCTATAGGGTCCACAAGAACCTTAAATTTGATTGCCACAAAAGCTTAATGTTAAACAGCATGTTTGAAATCAGTCAAAATTTATGTAAATTAATAAAAAAATACCAGAATCAAGTAATTGCCTTTCTTTAAAGGTAATTTTTTTTTAAAAGCCTCTGTAACATAAATGACAGGGTTTGGATGATGACTAACTCGAATAGTTCAGCGCCCTCTATCCACTAATTTTCTCGTAGTGATCGTAATATAACGACTGGATTATTCGGGTTAGATGATGACGGGTTATTATTTCTGTAATCTTTAATTATTCAGGGCTATTTTTCTGTATGATTTTGTTAATCCCATCCAGACACTCATAACATTGGTTAGTGGGAAAAAAAATTGGTCATCACGTCTTCATGTTAATACTTGAATATAGAGATCAGTTGAAATGAAAATACCAATTTTAAAGAAAACAACCTTAAGTACTGTTTAAATGCTTTAGTGTTTGACTGTAGTTATGCTACATTATACACATTGGCGGATCCAGAGGGGGTGGGGCTGTGTTCCGGGGGTTGGAACCCCCCTTTTTCGATTTTTGTTTATTATTATGTGAACGTTTCATGGGGCTACTTCGATTCGTCCAACTCGGGTTGACTAGAGTTATAATCAATGATAATGCGCATGTGCTCAACCATTCCCAATCGAAGTGAAAACTCTTCTCGAGTTGACTCCCAAAATGGAAGATATATAAATATGGGAACGGTTGTCAAATTTCTTTTTATGGACATCGACAAGTAACAACTTTATCATCGGTTCAAATTTGTAATATGATTAAATTAGAGAATTCTATCATTTATTCATTTTCAGTTTTTACCAGGGGCTCTTTTTACAAAATATCTCACGACCAATTGATCGTAAGTTATATTAGTTATAATAAAATCATCATGACTTCTGAGTATTTTTTCAGGCCAATATAGTAATTTTTAAAATCCTCCTGTCCCATCATATAGGGAATGGATTTTCGTAATCATATTCACATTTCAATCTTAACAACTCAAATTACCGGGAGTATATTTTTTTCTGTTCTATTGATAAACATCACCGACAGCATTTACACACGAATAATATTTGTAAATCGAAAATACAATAACATAATTAAATTCACTTAACAGCCCCTTTCTTTGGTTGTGTTTTGTAAAATTTCATTTATTTTGTATCATACTCTTCTCTACTGTACTTGTTTCTCACCATTTTGTAACTCTACTAATCCTGCCTCAACCCAGGGTTGATATCGAGTTAACTCGGGTAGGTTAAAAAGGTCAAACTCGGGGGGGGGGGGGGGGGGGGGGGGGGGCGTGGGGGGAGGGGTCGATTGAAACTCGACAAACTCTACTAACCCGAGTTGGACGAATCGAGGTAGGCCGGTGTTACAGGGGTTGAAAACCCCCTTTTCAAAATGGCTGGATCCGCACTTTCTGGTAATAAGCTTTTATACATAATATGAATTCATTGATTTAAATAATGTCATTTTCTCAGTCTCTTCAATCATTTAATTTTTTTTCAGGTGTTCAATGAAAAAAACGGATTCCATTCAAAATTACCAGATGTTGACCTCATTAGACGAGAATTCGAAAGATAAAAACTGTGATATCTAGATATAGACATGTGCAATATACATTTTTGTGTTCTATTTCATTTCTGTACTGAATAAATCATGATATATTTCAAAGAATATTCATTTCAGATTTGATATTTTGATCTCTGGCTGATCAGGAGAAAGGAAATAATAAAAAAGTAATAACATTTAACAATTTGAAAATCATTGGTTGAACAGTTTCTAAGTTAATGGATAATGCATGGAAACGACATAGAGTGACATTTTCCAATCAATCAAGGACCATAACTCCTGAACGGCAAAAGTGAAAATCGACATTGCCGAACTCAAATCGACCTTTATTTTGTCATCAGTTACGTATACGACAATAATAAGTATATCAAAACTCTGAAAAACAGTCAATTTGGTTGAATATTTCATGTAAAAGCACGTCAACAGTTTGAGCAAAAACGCCCGCACGTCCGCATCCCAAATCAAAGAATAAACGCCACTAAGCTATTTGCGATACTCAAAATAAAAAGATATAAAAGTAAGAAGATGTGGTATGATAGTCAATGAGACAACTCTCAACCAGAGACCAAATGGCATAGAAGTTAAAACTATAGGTATTCGTACGGCTTTTAACAATGAGCAAACCGCACAGTAAGCTATAAAACGCCCCGAAATGATAAATGTAAAACAATTCAAACGAGAAAACCAACGGCCTGATTTATGTACAAAACAATCAACGAAAAAACAAATATGATATTCAGCAACAAACGACAACCACGGAATTACAGCCTTTCAGAAACACAACTTCGTTTTATTAACTTGAAATTAGCAGTGTACCTATAAATAAAGGATATGTGTGATAAACACCAATGGGACAGCAACCCAACGACACAAAAAAAAACCAAAAGAGATTTAGAGGTCAAGATACGGTCTTAAACGATAGACAGACGACTATATCATAGGTCAAGCTCTGAATAGCCCTACAGTTAGGAGAAGTAAAGGAAATTTTTCTGACCTATATCTTAATATAGACCTTTTATTTATATTCCGGTACCTCTTATATCGTAGGCCATTCTTGTCACAAAGAGTACAGTAAGGCATGGTCTTGTGCCATGTCAAGAGAAAACATGTACATAAATTAAATTCAACAAAAAAACAAATTAAACAGAACATTCTAGACTTGCTTCGAAAATAAACTACGGAATCGATGTTCAGAATAGAAAAAGATTGCAAACACTGAAATAAAATATCTTCTTTACATAATTATCATGATTGAATTAAATGAAATGTTGAAAGTCTTTAATATCAATGTTTTACTACAAGTATAACATAAACTTAACATTATCAACCATCAATGTAAATGGGGTCAAGGTCAGATGAACCCTGCCAGATGGACATATACACTTACAATCATACCATACACTAAATATAGTTAACCTATTGCTTATAATATCTGAGAAACTGACCTAATTACGAAAACTGGCGTTGACCACTTAAACATAAAAATGAGGTCAAGGTCAGATGAACTCTGCCAGTTTATAGTTGACCTATAGATTATAGTATCTAGAGATACGGACTTGACGACGCAAACTTGACCTTGGTCACTGATCTATGAAATGAGGCTGAGGTCAATCGAGCTTTGTCGGACGGTCATGTAGACCTCCAAAGATCCCACTTTCCAAATACAGTTATCCTATTACTCATAAGAAAGAAATTCGCATGAAAAAACTATATAGCAGTCGGTGAACCTTGAAAATTAGGTAAAGGACAATAAACATATGGCAAGCAGAAACTTCATAAGATATTAAAATGAAAGAACCTTTGTGAGCACGCTCACATATCCCAATCCTCCACATTGTCAACGGGCAAACAAAATCTCAACAGATTCTTAAGTTCAAAGACTCATAATTCCTACAAAAGTCAACTGATAAAAATGTCTTGTGGATATGCACACTTACATATAATGTCCACATTATCTACAAATTTCATCAAATTCTGTTGTGTGGTTTCAGAAGAGTTTCACTGACAAACTGTTCCAGTAGTATATTATAGACAATATTCTAAATCAGAAGGGCATAACTCCTAGAAAAAAATTGAATCTTAATTTCCTGTCGATATGAACATCTATATAGTATATCCTTATTATCTATAAAGTTTCATGAAATTATGTTGTGTGGTTTCAGAGGAGTTGCGATGACAAACTGTTGCAATAATATAAGTATGCTTAAATTGTAAGTTTAAAGGGCATAACTCCTAGAAAAAAAATTGAGTCGTAATTTGCTGTCCATATGAACGTCTACATAGTATGTCCTTATTATCTACAAAGTTTCATTAAATTCTGTGGTGTGGTGTCAGAGGAGTTGCGATGACAAACTGTTTCAGTAGTATATTTGGGCCAAAATTGCAAGTTCAAAGGAGCATAACTCCTAAGCAATTTCCTGTCAATGTGCACGTCTAAAAGTGTGTCCTTATTATCTACAAAGTTTTATGCAATTCTGTTGTGTGGTTTAAGAGGAATTGCGATGACAAAATCAGGACTGACGAACGGACGGGTCAAAAACAGTATACCCTACGCAACATCTTTGCATGGTGTATACTATCTGTTTCTACGGTTCGAAACATCCTGCACTTCTACCTTCTGAGATATAAATCTTTATACAAATAGTTTAGGTCATCTTCAGCCGAAAAAAACCCTTTAAAATCTTAATAATGGTGGCAACTGTGTCATGTATGAATCGTTAGTATGGGGTTCAATTAAACCAGCTCCTGCCTATCACTCCCAGAGTTAATACTCTGTTGGGCAAAAACTGTTTATGACGTTATTACACAATTTTCTTCTAACGTCCAACTAAAAAACGTATTTATTGTGACGTCAATCCTTCCCACCAGTCTTCTCTTTCCTTCACAACGACGAGAAAAGAAATACACGCAGAGATTCAGCAACTTTAAAAGAAAATTAAAGGATTATGGAAGAGACAAATGTCATCATGACCATATTTATTCCAAGGATGTACGGAATAGGTTATGTTTTTAATGGAATGTAAGTATGTTAAATAATTTAAACACAAATTGTACATAATTTCATTTTATGCTATATATTTGCTTGGTTTTGGAAGATGCGGATAGTTTTTTGATGTTTCGACTATAAAAGATAGTACCTTTTGAATTTTTTGTTGATAACGAAATTGAGAATTGTTATTGACAGATAGATTTTATTTTTTTTATACTGGTTTTTGATGTTAACTTATTCTTATCGTATATTATAGATTTGACAACAAGATTATCGACCTATGTAAAAGGAAGATAAGAAAAATGGAAAAGGATATAAAACTGCATAGACAAATTTACAAGCAACTGCAAATGCAACAAAAGGTGAGTTTAAAATGGACCATTAAAAAAATCATGGTACCACGGTGCAGCCGCTATTCATCAATAATGTATTTAATAAAAAAGTAACGGGTGGAAAAAAACATCAAAATGTCCCAAAGGGATTGTAAAAAAAATATTAAATTGTCAATAATAATGTTACAATTAAAAGGAAAAAGAAACAGTAAAGGGATAGTGTGAGATTTCACCCTGGAATTGTTAAAATAAGAAAGATATATCAATTATTCTTTCACGGACACCAACGAAATTGGTCATTAAAATTTGCTTTGACAAAAACTTTGCAACAATACATTTCAAAGAGGAGACAACTTGCTTATAAAAAGCGACACTTGAAGATTTGATTCAGTGTTTTTTTAAACAGATATTCATTAGTAGTACCAGAGACATATATGTGTATATATGTCTCTGGTAGTAGACTGTTATAGTTATATAATAATATGAATAAAATCACGTTTCAGGTGTGTTGGCTTGCCAACAGCAAAGTTGCAAAGTACCAAAATGACTTAGATACTTCAAAGAAGATCTATGACTATATGGCAGAAAATTTAAGTAAACGTGAAGTGCGCTCAAAACAAACAGCAATGTCCAAGGTTCAGAACCATCTGCAGGCAAAATTAAAGCTAGCAAAAAGGGCAGAACAAAAGTACTATACTGTTCTTGAACATGAATCCAAGACAAGATCATCCATCAAGAAGGTAATTATTAATCATTATAAGCCAACAGACAATAAACATCGATTTAATCAACTAAAAGGGGCCTAGGTGGCCCTGCCAAGTGGTCCAAGTAGTTCAAACACTTTACACTTTACGTTTTCTTTCTATTCTGTGTAAGTTTTATTTATAAATTTGTATGCACGTGCTGAATGAAAGATTAGGATGAGATAGAATTTACTGAACAGCTTCTGAAACGAGAACTTTTTGGGGCTAGATATATCGAGAAGCGGTGTATATATTCAACAATACCATGACATTATATGTCTGTGTCTACCATCATTGGATGGTGAATGATAAGATAAAAGGCTTTGTCAATAAAGACAAACCATTTCATTTCCAATCAAATATTTGTTATTTTTTTCAGCTTGAACAGGACATATTTAAATTGATTGAATTCCAAGTGAACGACAGGAAACCAACATCAACATCCGAGTAAGTAAATTTAAATACAGATGCCATTCAAACTATTGAACTACTATTTATCATTGAAAACAGTATTAATGACATTGAAGTATTTTTTGTTCAAAGTTGGGTTACTGTCTCTTGCATTTCCTCACAGCTTCTCTATAGCTTTAAGCCTTTTAGAAAAATCAACAATGCCATAGAAACACAAAGAGTATGGAAATAAAATGAAGTATGTACCCTATGGAAAATGGTTTACAACTTACAAATAATTGCACTCTTGAAACCTACAGAAATTACTTATTGTATTAATTGCTAATGTGTACTCCTCCTGAACATGCATAAAATAGTTGCCGCTGGACCTTAAACAAGCAACAATCAATCAACCAATTGTAACATTAGCATTTGTACTAGAAACAATGACAAAGTATGGAGATAAAAATGAATCATGAGTTATAAATGTCACTGTAAGCAAACAAACATTACAGAATATGGAATAAAATAGAGGAGGGATAAAGACAATTCAATACACAAAATATGGATAGATGAAAATTAAACTCTTTTTTACAATCAATTATGCATTACAATTTTTTTCTTCAATCTATTTTAATAACAGAAGGATACACACAACCATATCAGTACAAACTCTCGTGCAAAAAATGAGCAGCAGATACCAGTTTACTCTTCCTCAGGTTGGTTCATTTAACATCTTCATAAGCATCTATGTCATGTGACTGAGCATTACAGCATAATTCATTCATGTATTAATCAATGTTGTCAAATTAAATGGTCAATTCTATTTAGATGGCCACAAAAGCTTGAATGTAAAATATGTTAGCTGTTGAAATTAGTAAAAAATTCAAGTACATTAATACAATATAAAAATAAGGAGATGTGGTATGATTGCCATTGAGACAACTATCCAACAAAATTCAAATAAAGTTGATGAAAGCAATTATAGGCAACCGTACGGCCTTCAACAGTAAGAAAAACCAATACCGTATAGTCAGCTATAAAAGGCCCCAACATGAAAAATATGAAACAATTCAATTGAGAAAACTAACGGCCTAATTTATAACAAAACAATTAATGAAAAATAAATATGACAGACATTAATGTATGTTTAGAAATACCAGAATCAAAAAGCCCCTGTAACATAAATAAAATAAGGTCATGATGAAGAGAGGAGGATCTTCATCTCTTTTCGCTATTTTTTTCTATTTTGTAAACCCTTTACAATTGACAATTTGAAAGAAAATTGGCAATCATATATACATGTACATGTTTATGCTTAAACACTATATTAGTGATATGTCAACAGCTTTCAGTTAAAAAGGAAATACCAAATTTAAAGGAATTAATTAATCAATAGCAATCTTAAGTACTGTTTCAATGCTTTAGTGTTTGACTTTGATTATGCTAGTATATCAAACATCTTTCTGTTACAATTAGTTGAATTTCCTTTTTTAAATTTTTAGGTGTTCAATGAGAAGAACGGTTTCCATGCAAAGTTACCAGATGTTCTACTTGTTCAACGAGAATTCTGTAGCTAAAATCTGTGATATTTGAACATAAGAACAAAATGTGCAATAATCCATTTTTGAGTTTTCCTTATTTTTTGTACTTATATTTTTTTTTATTTTTGATTTTTGATTTTACATTTAATAAATTAATCAAACTTTTGTGTTTTATTTACTTTTTATTTTGACATTTTTTTAGATTTTTCATTCAATAAATGAATCCAACTAATCAGGAAAGAAATTAAAAAAATAATTGTATCATTATGCCAAAGATCAATCTGATTAAAATGCATAGCACACTAGAGCCAAACAAAGAGCATGTTTTTTAATCAGATTAATAAGCCTTGCTATGATACTTGTTTACAAATAATGGGATGTGGTATGATTGCCAATGAGCCAATATCCACCCGAGACCAAAAGATGTGGATGGAAGCAACTGAAGGTCACCATTCAGCCTCAACAATGAGCAAAACCAATACTGTATAGTCAGATATAAAAGACCTAAACATTACCAAAAACAATTCAAATTAGAAAAAAAACAGCTATCATGTCTGTCTTCTTGTTCATTACTTTTGATTCCTGTTTGGTATATGAAGAACTGCTTCACCAAATCTTTTAAATACAAACTGAGCTTTTTTTGTGGATTTGTAAGATGTGTATTTAGTCTTCAAGAGTTGTAGCCCTTGCTTATTTCAGTAGTTGTGATATTGTTTGATGTGGTGGCAGCACTGTTTAGGTGCAATCTCAAGATAACCTCACTCTTCAAATGGTTTCTCTTTCTGAAAGTTGAGATGTCACTAAGTATAAACACATTTTCCATCAATTTAAAAAATGTTAGCATTATACCAGATAGAATTCTCATCATTTTTTTTTAATTCATTAACATAATACTGAAGCTCACATATCTTCATCAATCTTTTGACAGCCATATCTTGTGTGTTGTCTTTTCAAATGCATTGAAGAAATGGTTTACTGCTACTGGCAATAAAAAGATATAAAAAAATGGTTCAGGAAAATAACTTAAAACTATAAAATGCCATGCAAAGGAATGTTTTACAGAGACTATGATTTGACTATAGGATTTGTCCTTTCACTTACCCCTATGGTTCAACCAGATTGTAAAATTGACAAATTGATATTGTTTGAGAATAGGCATAAGAGTCTACCTTGATCCTACATGTTCTGTTAATTTTTCTTGCGTAATGCAACCTAACATCTTGCTTTTTTTCTTAAGGTTTTCTTCACAGATGGTCACTCTAATGTAGCATTGGTAGAGGAGAAATTATTCTAGTTTTTCATTGTTTTAAATGCCTGATAAAGATATTTAATCTAATAAAGACATAAAAAAATCAGAGAAAGATTTTTTTAACTGCATTCTAACATGTATGGAATTTACTAGAAACTTAAATGTCATAAACCCTGGCTTTAGACACTCAGTCATTTGTAGTATTTTTAAGAAGAAAATTGTGTTTTTACTCACAGAAGGTTTCAACAAAATCCTTCAATATGAATTAACAGCTTCTGTTTAAACAAAAAGAAAACCACAACATTAAAGATCAACAGCATAAAACTGGCCAGCTCAAGAGACGGAGTATTCTGATCTCTAGATGTCTTTTGGTTTTTCTGTGTTATTGGGTTACTGTCTTATTGACATTGGCTTTTTTTACGTTAAAATGAATACATTTGTAATCTCAACACTGTAACAATTTCTAAAGCTGTACATTAAATGGCTGGCAGGAAAAATCAGTCATTGTTTTATATAATAAACAGCTGCACCTAGAGCGCATATGCATAATAAACCCTCTTTGTATATTGAAGTTGTGTAACAATCACCAGTCTCAACACAACAACAGTATAATGTTTGTTGTGTTTTTAAATGATCCGAGTATACTAGAGCTAGTGTGTGACATTAAAATCACCTTTAATCTGACTGTTAAAATCCCATAACTCTTGAATAAAAAAATCAGAAAATTCAAAAATTTCAAGATCAGTAGGTACCTTACTTTAACTAATTCCAACAATTCTGTAAAGTTTAAAGTAAATCTATTCAAGCATTCTCAAGTTATTATACTACATGTGAAAAATTTAACAAAAATCTGACAGTTATAGTCCTTTAACTCTGGAACAATAAAACAGAAAAATTTCAGAATCAAAAAGGGAAGTTAGTGTGTGATAGGTGAAAAATTGTCCAAAATCTGATAGTTAAAGTCCCATAAATCTGGAATGACAAACCAAAATATTTTCAAAATTAAAAGATACTTTTTTCGGTCAATCCTTATGTGTGAATAATTCAATGAGAATTGTTTTTAGCAAATTTGAGTTATTGTATAAGGTGTTTACATACAGATGGATGGATGGACAGATTGAAGGGACAGATGCTTATTAGATAAATTTATTGTCTGTTTTTCATTAAAGCACAAAAGGTGCTTCAATCACATAAAAATCCAAATCATTCAGTGTAACAGCTGAAGTCTTTTACAAATCCTGAAAAAAAATTATCAAAATATTTCTCTTCATGCAAAGAAAACTACCATCAATAAAATGAAGAAAAGAAATTTATATTTTGAAACTAACAACATAACAAGAGGCATATAAGCATAATTTTATTTATCTAATTTCCTAAATGTTTATATACTGTCATGTACAAACTTTGTCCACACTGCAGCTTTGTGAAAATCTTTAATGTGTCGTTGCATCATACCACTGGCTGTAAATGAAAAAAATCTTTTGAACTAAAAAATTACAGATTTACATTTATAAAGCTGGATATTTTAATTAAGAGAGAGAGAAAAAAAGTCTAATAAGCAACAGTTAGAAATATTTCTTGAATCTCAATAAATTCAGATCTGATTTTATTTTTCAGATTTTTGACTTTTTAAGAAAATAATATTTTTTCAACCTTCAAGAATAGTTCATTTCTATATCAGAATTTAAATTTGTGTTTGAATTAAGTTTTGAGAATTTTTTTTTTGTGTTGTTTGTCAAATACTTATTTACTAAGCAATCATGGGCTTACACTGCTTGGCCCCTTTCTGAGGGTCTGGATGGGGTTTACAGAATAGAGAATAATGCGCAAAACATGCAGAATATCAGGCCAAAAAAAATAAACTGCTTCGCTGAGTACAGCTTGATACGCCTGCAGAGGTCCAACCCTGAACAGTTGGGGCAAAAATGGACACAATATTCAAGCTTGATACAGGTCTGAATTTGGATTGTAATTAATATTTGACATATTATAGGTTTCTGAATAAATGTAGTTTAAGAACTTGAAATTGGTTATATGATTTGATTTTATATTCAATTAAAGGTTTCTTGCTGTTGTGCAATACACTGTGCTGTTGCACAATACTAAGTGATTCTGTTGTCAGACTATAAACAAACAATAACTTCTCAATGTTATATCAGAAATTTATAAAAAAAACTAAAGGGAGGTTATCTTAATAGATATAAATCAGTCATCAAAGTTTAATGAAAACTGCTCTAAGCACTTTAAGGATATTGTCCAAAAACTTGAAAATCAACCCATTTTTATGAATAAAATCTTAAACTTGGAAACGTAAAATCTTAAATATAAAAGTCAAAAGGGAGCTTACAATAATAGATATAAACAATTTACCAAAGTTTCATAAAAAATGTTGAAAGCATTTTTGAGTTATTGTCCGAAAATCCCCCTTTTTGTAATGAATCAGAAACATATAGTCTAAAATTTAAAAAAAAATCAAAAGGGAGCTCATGTTGATAGAAATAAACAATTCACCAAAGTTTCTTGCTAATTGGTGAAATTGTTTTGAGTTATTGTCCAAAAACTGGAAAATCCCCCCTATTTTAATGAATAAAACCCCATAACTCGGAAATGTAAAATCTAAAAGTTATAAAATTCTAAAGGGAGCTTACATCAATACTGAATAGATATCAACAATTCACCAAAGTTTCATGCATATTGGTTAAAGCGTTTTTGGGTTAATGTCCGACATGTTGATGACGGACAGGCAGACGGTCAACGGTATACCATAATTCGTCCCGTAAATGGACGTATAAAAATAGAGTAAAATTAGCTAAATATTAAAGAGAAGAGAAAAATGGTCAAAATAAATAAAGAATAGAGAAGGGTCTAAAAATTATAAATAAATGAAACGAAGGGCCCCTCCAGCCATTCCCTCCTTTCTGGTGCTCATGCAAAATAAAAACAAGTGACCTACCTTTTACCATGTTCCTTGTTTTGTCTGGAATGACAGATGAGGATGCCATTATTCCTATCCAGTCAATCACCTACAATGATTTAAAAAAAAATAGTATAATGAAATGGTCATCAGGGGGCGTATTAAGATTGGAGATGAGGAGGTTGACTGGTTTGTCTATCTTACAGTAGCAATCCTAGACGAATCTTAAAGTTGCAAAACTGACAAAAGTTTCGTTCAAACATGATAAATATATGAAAATGTTCCTTACAGCTAAGCTGTACAACTTTATAGTCACTTAACTCACTTTTAATTTCTTTAAAAATCAAAAATTGCTGCTGATAGATAAAGATTCTTACACTGCTTCAAGAGAGATACAATATTTTTCTTTTAGAGACATATTAAGAGGAATGGCTAATTTCCCTCATATATCTTCCACATCCAGGCTATTTTCTAAAAGTTTTTCGTTCTTTATTGAAATACAGTATCATAGGTTCATAAGTGAACTTCAAGGTTTAAATAATATTTCAAAATATTTTTGAACATGTGACCAAATTATAAATGCCTAAAGATGGAAAAAATGTTTTTGTAGCATTCATCCAGAAAATGAATGAGAAGACCATTCTTAGCCAAAATCAAAATTCTTTTGGAAGTACTTTTATCTATCATCTTTCAGATACAAATTAATTCACTTTGGCTTTTTATGGTCTTCAAAACCATATTTTAAAAGTACCTGTAATTTCAACATGGTTGTGTATGACATCATATGGACATCAAAAGAATTCATTTATCAACAAATTTAAAATAAATCTGAACGGATTGAAGAATTTTACAATTTTTTGTAATTTTAGGAGAAAAATAATGGTTCATATCTTACTTCCTTGTTTTAATTCTGAAAATAACAAAAATTAAAAATCTAACAACATAAACTAAATGTGATGGAAAGGAAGAGTTGTGGTGAATAAATTTGTGACTTTACCAACCACTTGACTGAACCAATAGCAAAAGAACGTCGGTGTTATTGCTGTCCTTCATCTCAAAGTTACAGTGAACCTTCAATACACAGCAAAAACTCACAGTCTCACTTCAAGTTCAAGACATATGGTCCGAGTACACAGTTATCGTCCTTTGATTTTCGTTGTCCACGAATAAAGTCCCTAGTGTGGACAGTGTGTTGCTTGCCAATTTTTTTAGTACCCCTTCCAAATGTATTCCTTCATGTTTTATGCCTCAAATAGCAAGTAGGGGGATGAAATTACACTGTAAAAAAATTTGGGTCATGAATTGTAAAGTAAAGTAGTGATTTGGTCCAGCTGAAAAAGGTTAAAAATTAGCACTTTGGAAGCTGTCAAAAGATTTCAAGACCCCCTTAACATAGAATTGTCCATATTTTGAGTTAGAGCCAATGAAGTTTTCTATAATTTTGATATAATTTGTCCCAAAAGTAGTACAACACACTGTAAAAATATTATTGAGAAAGCGCAGGTGGGATTTTTTTTATTTTCATTTATTGTCTAAAAGAAATGCACTACGAAATAACTGTGTACTCGGACCATATAGTTAAAAATCTTTTGAACATAATTTTTGCTAGATGTTGATAACCTACATTTGGTGAAAGCTGATCCCAAGGATTGTTTTGAATATTTTCTATACATGATGGCAGGCAGGACAATCCAGGATGTAGCAGGAATCCTATGTTGCATCTTTGCTCCACATCAAGTGAGAAGTAGTTGTTGTTAATCATCAGAAATGGCACAGCTATAGTTGATGTCCATAAACACAGAGCACTTGACACGATATTACAACAGAAATCTAAAACCTGAAAGAAGATATGTCACAGCTTTTAAATTGTGCATTATATATCATAAATTTGTTGAATTCTTATTTATACATTGTAAACTCAGAAATGTTTGCAATCTGTTGCGTAAACTGCATCGATAAAGGTTCCATAAAAATCAAAACTAATAAAAAATATTTTGTTTTTGACTGATTTAATATGAAGTTGTACTTAAAAGGCATTTAAAGTTTTCATTTTTGCTTCAAGTATCCAGCAGTCTTTTCCCTCTTGTAAAATACTTATCTTATTTATCTAGAAAGACTATTTTGAACACTGAACTGCATATTCTTTCATTAAACCATCTGGAACTGTGATATTATCCAAGACAAGTAGGTAATGGGAGAAAAATATACAAGCATAAAAGACCAGTTACCAACCCTACTACTTTGACCTAAATTCAAGCAGATTTTGGGAACACAAATAAGTCTTTTGGTACTTTTATCAGCATTCACTACAATCCTTAGATTATTTGTTTAGTTTATGATACCTGTGCCATCTCAACATCTTTAGAAATTTCCATCACACCATTGGTAATATTACGAGTATGTCCTAACAGCTCTAGGAACCACTGGACACACTGAATTGTTCCAGTATACTCAGACTGACAATGTAATATCTGGTACAATGTGCTCTGTAATAACCTTGTTAAATCAGCTGTGTCTCTAAATTTTATAAAAAAAAATTTATTAAAATAAAGACATATTTTTTTATCAATAGCTGCTTGCAATAACAATATCATTGTAAATCCAGGAATGTCACACCATTATAATCCTGCGGCTCTTTTCACAAAAAATCTTAAGAGTAAAAATACTCGTAAGTCATACACATTTCAGTATAACTTACGATCAATTTTAATCGTAAGATTTTTTGCGAAAAGAGTCGCTGACTAAGCCTCCAATCGCAAATTTCCAACACAATGCTCTTTATTCAGAGTTTTCAAAAATAGGTCTTATATAAATCAGATATAAAACTTTTTATTATTCTTTAATTTGATAAATTCAAAATATAAGTTTAATTTACTAAATTATCATTAAAATAAACTGAAAAAATCTTCCACAGCAAGATTAAAGCTTGATCTTTGCCACAACCTAGATTAATTGATTGATTGTTGGTGTTTAACGCCTCTTTCAGCACTATTGGCTATTCTGTGACAGCCAGTTTTTCTTGGTAAAGGAAACTGCAGTGCCTGGAGAAAAAAACGACCTTCATCAAGAAAACTGGCAATCATAGTCAATTAATATTGGATTCAAACGCACCTGGCACGTATATGTGGGCTCAGACTCACAACATCAGTGTTGACAGTCTAGTTATACAGTAGTTATTCTACTAATACCACTTGGCCACCGAGGTTTCTGTACAAGTTAGACACAGGGTGTTGAAAAGTAAACAAAATATTTGTTAGTTGTTAATTTTTAGTTCTGGTAAAGCACATATAATGTCACCATTAGTTTTATCATGTTATAATATGTCTCATTTGTGAACAAGAATTTCAACCTTATGCAATGAGTACCCCACTGTTAATTAGACATTAATGAGAAAGGCATGCAATGCTCCAAGGATATACAAATAATCAAAGTATTCTCAGAATGGAAAAACCAACCTAGCAGATCTTAAAATCACCTACACCCATACAACTCAGTATTATTGGCCTACTAACTAATTATAAGATCATACAATGCAACAAAAAAGTATCTCTAAATTATAAAGAAACTTTTGTAAAAGTTTACTGAAATTCATCCATGAAGGTTTGAATAGGTTATTGATGTTACATTATGAAAAAACTTTAACCCAATAATTTATATGTAATTATTATTATCTAAATGTAAGCTCCAACAAAACTATGCATCCACTAATCAAAGTAAAATAGAGATTGATAAATAAAACAAAAAAACTTCAAATGCTATCTCTTCATCATTATGAAGATCCTGTCAAGGTTTCTTAATATTCCATGAGGGTTTGACAAAGTTTTTTTTCTTCTCAAAATCTAATAAATATAATTTTTAAAATCTATCCTTTCATAAAATTGAAATAATATACATGTAGTAAGATTTTACAAAGAGTTTCATACACACATTTAAAAATTCCTTTCATACTTATTTAAAATACATGGAAATCAAAGATGACTCTTACTGGATATAAATCATTACTTACAAACTATTACTGTTGATTGCTTTATCAATACATGAATTCAATGTTGCCATGGGTTGTTTTCCTTTGGACACAAGATAACATCTGATGAATATTCCTTTGTAGCAAGAATCTTCTGCTGTTAAATCATCACTTGTAATCTTGTCAAATATTTGATCTGGCACTTCAGTAAAACATTCACCAAATATACACATCAAAGATGGCTTAAAATATAATAAAAAAACATATGTATTGTGGCATCATAATTTATTACAGTGTTTTAAACTTTTGTCTATTTTCAAAATATTGTGAAATCTCTTTAGGGAATGTTAGAAACTGTTGTTCTTAATTTTGGAAATATCTTGTGTTTTTAAATTTTTTTGTTTGTTTTGTCATTGGTCAGTTTTACATATATCAATTCAGTAGAAGAATAATATATCAGTACATTAGGTTGTACATGTGCAAATCCATTTTTCTTGCAAGTTGGATAAAACAAGACCAATACAGGTCTGGACCTGTGTCACTGTGTATAATTAATTAAAATTTCAAACTATCAGCAAACAAGAAGTAGCTGCAGGACAAATCTTAAAATTGCTTGCTACAACTCATGATTATCAAACTACCTTTCGGACAAACGGACAGACAGAGTGGATTGTTTACTAGACTTACTATTGCTGTTGGTGAAACAGGCAAAAAAACAAGCATTTTGAAAACAGGAAGTTGATGAGTGATGGATGTAAAATAGTATCACACAATATATTACACTCAAAATTAAAAAGCTTTGATTTGTAGTTCCTGAGAATAAAATTGATCAAATTTACATACAAGGCCATTTTGTGTAAGAATATAAGAATATTCAGTAAACTGATAGATGAGTGCATATTGAATCTGAAATACATCACACAGTCTAACATGCTATCAGGAAGCTTCATACCAAATATCAGGAAACTCTGATTTATAGTTTGAGACAGACAGGCAAACAGGCATAAACCATTATACCCCCCTCCCTTCAGAAAAAGGGTCTAACTATAAATGTATCAGCTTATCAATGTAATTTTTAAAATAAATAATATTAATGAGTTCAACCCCTAGAAAGCCTTTTCAAAGATTGCAACATCTGTTAATTTAACAGTATAATAGAAAAACAAAGGATATGGGGTATCCATCCATGACACAAAATCAGTACATGCACAGCAAAAAAACACAAAATAAGCAAAGGAACAGCGCTTTTATTGCTGTTCTTCAGTAAAGTACATATATACATGTACATACCTCCTTTAAATCAAGTTTGTACAGACATTCAAGACACTGATACAGAACACTTGTAATAGAATCTGGAGGGTCAGGAACTTGTAATGATTTGTGTAACCCCTTTAGCACTTCCTGTTTGTCCTGCAGATCAGCAGAAGACAAAATGTCTACTCCTCCTCTTTCTAAAAATGTCTTAATAACAGATGGAGCCACTGATTTAATCAAAAGTGGCAAGGCCTTGTATAATGTTTGTTTACAATTAATCTGCAAAAAACAAAACATAATATCAATCTATTTGTGATTTCTATTTTAGAATAAATAACTTAATGTGAATCCGACTGTGAATCCTGAATAAACAAATCATCCTGTCAATTTTTTGCATGTGTGTATTTGATCAACATTCTAGATTGTAGAGATCAATTATACAAGACTTAAACAAATGATTGATGATATGACAACAACTATGATGATGATGATGTTGATAACCGATAGCTGTTTAATGTCTAGCGGCAAATTCAATGCATATTCAGGACAAGAACATGATAATGTGAAATGGATATAAATAGATTTTGATCATTGTTGAAGACCATACGGTGACCTATAGCTGTTCACTTTTATGTCATTTGGTCTCTGGTGGAGAGTTTTCTCATTGGCAATTATACCACATCTTCTTATTTTTATATAAAACCTGCTTTGTACTAGACAGTCAAAGTGAGCCAGATTTTTAATGTCCTGGTTCACAAGGCAACAGTCTGCAGGAAGACATGTCACCCTACCCAGACAAATTGATTCCCAGTTGACAAGCTATGCTCCTATGGTACTCCTAAATTCTGAGTGCTCAGAGACGAAGTAGCAAATACCAACTTTCAAGTCTGGTATGACCTGGCCTTGTTTTGGAATGACAACCTATCACACTCAAGGAGAGAGTGCTATCGCTAGACCATCAAGGCTGAGAAATGTGTTACAAAATGATTTTTTATCATCTCTATGTACCTCATTCAGAAACATTGGTTGCAGGCCTGGTAGTATGATGAAAGCTTATAAATGTTTCTTTCATCTCTAATAATTTCATATGCCTTATACCAACATATTTTTAACTCATTTCTTTAGATCAAATAGAGAAATTCAGAAATTGTGATGTATTATAAATACCACTGTTTCTAACATTCTGATTGGTTGAAATTTCATTGTCAAGGATACTGAGATTGCAAAATGTAGTTTAAAAGAACAAAAAGTTAAGCTTCCTGAATTTTTTTCAATTAAATGAAAACAACAGCTTACACTTAATGTGTTAAATAATGGAGCTGTCATCCATGAGGATAAGAACATGACAGCTGTCGGTGAGGCAATACTCTGGTTAACTGCCAACTGTAAGCATAATTTCTGTACTTCGTCACCTAGCCAAATAGAGAAAAAACATTTTAAAAAACATTCTGGAAGTTGAACACTGCATAAAAATTCATACAACTATTCTTACAACATTTTTCAGATTATAAGTGTAAAACTGTAGATACACAGTTTCTTCAGATGAACATAGAAGTTTCATATAATTCTAGCATTTGAACCAATGATAAAACAATTATGTACATGCCCACATTTACTCTTACTTCTTTTGATATATTTAAGGTACTGTTTTTATGTATGATATTAGTATGCATATAATTTACAGATCCTGTAGTTGCTGACAAAATATGTATTTATAAAAATTGATTGCATATTTTTATAGTTTTAATGCTGTTGAAATCTCATTCAATTAAAAATTTAAAAAAATGGAAAACAGACAAAACTGATTTGTCTGTTTTCCATTTTTTAAAATTTTTAATTGAATGAGATTTCAAACAGCATTAAAACTCATTTACAAACAAAAGAGTAGTTGTGCCTAGGGTCTTGTTTTCTTGTAAAATAAAGAATTTTCTACGAATTCTGAGCTCAAATCAGAGCCAATTTTCTTGCAAATACTGGTTGATTCAATTAAAATTTTATCTGGATTTTAAACAAATGTTGAGTACTGAAATCAAGATTGCTCAGGTAAAAAAGATTAATCTAAGATTCATCAGAGCCATTTTATTGTCAGGAACATTCATTTTTTATAACACTCATTAAGATTAAAAACTATCTGTCGAATTGCAAAAAATAATCATCAATATAGAAGCCATGGTAAAACTATATTAGCCAATGAGTTTTTACCAATAGTTTTTTGGAGGGGTTTTCGCTGCCCATCTTAGGTTTCTGTGTAAGTGTATTTAGTGGAATATTGTTTGCCAATTCATCCTCTTTAACATGTCTGTCATTAGTTTTACTTATCATATTGATTTCTCTCTTGGTATCTCATACTTTTTTACAGCGGATGACCGTTAGGTCATTCTGGTGTATTGCTATCGCCTAAATTTCCATTATGTAAATTAGTTTTGGGTTTTTAACCGATCTATAAACCTTTAATACGCCGACATCATCGAGTGCAAAATAACATTCCTTATCGCTTGCTATATATTCATTTCTTCAATGAATACTCATCAAATATTTTTTTAGAACATAATTTAATAATATTAAAATGTTTTATATGTATGTAAGTAAAAAATATTAATATCTATGCAGACGTACATGCAGACATACAGAAAAATTGTGTTAACACATGCGGAAGAATATCTCAAGAACGATTGCAATCTCCTATAAAGGAGGTGAAGATTATATACAGATACATGCAGAGTTATTGGTCCTTGCTCTCTTGTTTTGCGGGAAAATATGAATGCCTACTCAAATCCAATCTATACAAAAAATCGAATTATTATAGAAGAGTGTCCACCATGCACTTGCACTGCACTATTAATAATTAGTAGAATAGAATGATATACAAATGGATGAAAATTATATATACATGTAACTGTAATATACAAATATTAATATTAATATAAACCAGAGTATATTGATTTGTATCACTACAATACATATATATTTATATATATATATAATAGTTATTACGGTGATGTTGAATTCCCTTTCACTTATTTATCTTCCACACAAGAACTTGTCTCAGAAAAAAATACATCTGTACATTAACCTCACTTTCAGGTATAAAGATGTAATTTTTTTTCTGAGACAAGTGCTTGTGACATCCACAATAACTTGCGGTCATCCGATGTTCAGTACTTTAGTACTTTGATTCTAAGTATGGCATATGAATTTGAAATGAATAAGGAATGTCTGCAGCCATTTGGCAACAATAACAGGATCTTAGACTGACTTTCATCATGAAAAAAAGGAAGGAAGTAGGGAAAGATTATTAGTTTTTTTTTTCTGCTAAAAGATAATTAGAGTGATAGTTAAAATATTTCTTTCTATGAAAAAGGCTAAAATTTCTACAGGGCATAGTCTTAATGAATAGAGAGTTTGGAATAACAGGTACAAGTAAGAAATCAACATGTTTATCTATAAAATTAAAGTTTCAAAAGAAAAGGATGAGCCGCAATTTAAAATTTTATCTTATGAAAAGACACAAGACATCAACACTCCTACTCTGTTTTTTTTGTGTCAATACAATCATGCTAAATAAATTCTGAAGCATCCTTGAAAACTTATTTTTTCTGCAAATTAAGGTTTACGGTAAATTAAATTTTGACCCTAAATGGCTGAGTGTTTATTCCAACTATATAAACATTAATTTCCAGTCCAAATTAGGCATACAGCCTTGTCATTTGATGTTTTATTCTAAGTTTACCCTACCCCAAAAAATTTGGAAAATATGATTTGAAAATTCTTTGTTAAATTAAAAAAATTATGTAGGTATAGACCCTTTATCCAAACACAATCACTTGTGCAGATTTCCTATCTTCTTTTCAGGCCATCAAGGTTTATAAGAAATATGAATACAAACAGAAAAGGGATTTTTCATATCTATTGCGTTATAATAAAAAAAATATCAGTAATTTAAATTAACTTGACTACCGCTAATATATACAATTTTGCTACAGAAATAAATACCGAAATTAATCCTCATCAGCGGAGTTAGAATACCAGCCCAGTTCACAGGTGGCAGCACTCTAGTGACTTCCTCCTGAATAGATGTCAAGGTTATCTGTACCAGTTCTGGTGGTATAGATTCTGGACCTGTAAAATAGTCATATGGATAACATTATTACAGTAATTAATTTAAGATATGATTTTTTTGTATAGTTATACATTTTTTTTAATAGTGATTCCAATTAAACAAGCTCTAAGGGAGCTGCCATTTGATTTTTATGGGGGGGGGGGCTAGGATGAAAAATTTTGTCCTGGATTTTTTTTTTAAGTTGTAATCTCTGTCCTGCCTTTTTATTTTTTACTCTATTTGGTCCTGCCTTTTTTTTTTTTAGTTTATCCTGACTGTTTTTTACATAAATTGTCGTCCTGCCTTTTTTTTTTTTGCAGTGTCTCATCCTGCCTTTTTTTTTTACTCAAAACTCCTGTCCTGCCTATTTTTTCAAATTTCATCCCCCCCCCCCCCCCCCATAAAAATCAAATGGAAGCTCCCTAACCAAACAAGGATACGTGAGTCATTATATACTGGTAAAAAAAAAAACTGTATGATATAATAATTTTTTCCATTTGCATAGATTTTCCTCCATTGCTTATTGCTGAAGGCTATGTACAGTGCCCTAAAGCTGTTAACATCCTCGAGATCATCCTTTGGTCTAGAGTTGTCTCATTAGCAATCATACAACATTTCCATAATTTCATATTGATTTTGAACATTTAATTGATTGATTCATGTCTAATGCCACTTTTGGCACTATTGGCTATTTTATAGCTGTCAATTGGTGGAGGAAGCAGGAGTGCCAAGAGAGAACCACTGACCTACAGCAGGAAAAATGATAATGCTAGTCAATTAAGATTGAAGACTAGCTCACCTGTCAAGTTTGGGGTTTGAACTCACAACCTCAGTGTTAACAGGCAAGTAATACAGTTGTTTGACTACTAAGAAAACTCAGCCTCCAAGTCCCCTATGAACATTTAACATATCTATTAATTAATTACTACATGTATTGTATTTAATGTGAAACAGGACATCAAAAAATTCCCCCATACTGATAGATATGGAAAATGTGATGTATTTCTTTTCAAATTCAGCTCTCTGAACAATTTCCTTTATAAAGGTGTGTGTTTGTGTGTGTTAGGAAGTTGAGCTTCATTTGGGACAGGATATATTGAAATAAACAGAGCATCTATTATCTAATTCAGCAATTTAAAAATAAAATGAAGCATAACTCTAACACAAAATTACATCTGCTACAAGGTTTGTGCAGTGATAACTAACTCTAACACAAAATTACATCTGCTACAAGGTTTGTGCAGTGATAACTAACTCTAACACAAAATTACATCTGCTACAAGGTCTGTGCAGTGATAACTAACTCTAACACAAAATTACATCTGCTACAAGGTTTGTGCAGTGATAACTAACTCTAACACAAAATTACATCTGCTACAAGGTTTGTGCAGTGATAACTAACTCTAACACAAAATTACATCTGCTACAAGGTTTGTGCAGTGATAACTGCATACTTGATATTTATACATTAAAGACTTTTAATGAGGTGGATACTCATTTACAAAAACATTATTATATTGCATGAGGATATGAGTCAATGTTTTTCAAAGATAACTGTAGTGAAAGATTTGTAAAAGGCTACATAATACACATGTATTAGAAGATTCTGCTTTCAAGGCAATTATGATTATTTAATTGAGGCAGTTATATTGAATTTGAAAGGAGAATAATTGTTATTTTGCACACTTTCAAGGTCTGTTTAAACTATACAATGCAAAATCCAGTTTTTGAAGGTCCACAGACTTAGTGTGGAATTTCTCATTGTATTAATCTCTCCACTCAGATTCTAATCAACATCTACTTTTATGATAAAAAGATTTATAATCAGATATCCTTTTGGAATAAGAATAAAGAGGATCTGTCATATAAAGTCATTGAGACAGCTAGTCAAGAACACATAAACTGAAAAAGAGACCTGTGGTATAAAGTCAGTGAACCAGCAAGTCAAGGTCATCATTACTGAAATGGAGATCTACAGTATAAGTCAATGAGACAGCAAACCAAGGACACATAAACTGAAAAGGATACCTGTGGTATAAAGTCAGTGAGACAGCAAGTCAAGGACACATAAACTGAAAAGGAGATCTGTGGTATAAGGTCAGTGAGACAGCAAGTCAAGGACACATAAACTGAAAAGGAGACCTGTGGTATAAGGTCAGTAAAACAGCAAGTCAAGGACACATAAACTGAAAAGGAGATCTGTGGTATAAGGTCAGTGAGACAGCAAGTCAAGGACATCATTACTGAAAAGAAGATTTGAGTATAAGTCAGTGAGACAGCAAGTCAAGGACACATAAACTGAAAAGGAGATCTGTGGTATAAGTCAATGAGACAACAAGTCAAGGACACATGAACTGAAAAGGAGATCTGTGGTATAAGTCAATGAGACAGCAAGTCAAGGACACATGAACTGGAAAGGAGATCAGTGGTATAAGGTCAGTTAGACAGCAAGTCAAGGACATCATTACTGAAAAGGAGATTTGAGTATAAGTCAGTGAGACAGCAAGTCAAGGACACATAAACTGAAAAGGAGATCTGTGGTATAAGTCAATGAGACAACAAGTCAAGGACACATGAACTGAAAAGGAGATCTGTGGTTTAAGTCAATGAGACAGCAAGTCAAGGACACATGGACTGGAAAGGAGATCAGTGGTATAAGGTCAGTGAGACAGCAAGTCAAGGACATCATTACTGAAAAGGAGATTCGAGTATAAGTCAATGAGACAGCAAGTCAAGGACACATAAACTGAAAAGGAGATCTGTGGTATAAGGTCAGTGAGACAACAAGTCAAGGACACATAAACTGAAAAGGAGACCTGTGGTATAAATAAGGTCAGTGAGACAGTAAATCAAAAACACATAAACTAAAAAGGAGATCAGTGGTTTAAGGTCAATGAGACAGCAAGTCAAGGACACATAAACTGAAAAGGAGATCTGTGGTATGAGGTCAATGAGACAGCAAACCAAGGACACATAAACTGAAAAAAGAGACCTGTGGTATAAGGTCAATGAGATAGCAAGTCAAGGACACATGAACTGAAAAGGAGATCTATGGTATAAGGTCAGTGAGACAGCAACTAAGAACACATACACTGAAAGGGAGATCTGTGGTATTAGGTCAAATAAAGACAATATGTTAAGCTCTAAATTACCAGGAATATACTCAAACTACAGAGAATTACAGAGAAATTTTTAAGATGAGAACTTGTTAATGCAATTTAAATAGGAACCCTGCTTTGTACTTGACAGACAGGCTAAGCATGATGTAAATGGTACTAGTTCACAAGGTAACAGTCCCTAGGTGACATGTCACCCTACCTGGACACATTGTTCTGACTCTGAGCCTTACATTCTTTGATCTTACACCTTAATGCCACTTGCTTAGAAGATCAGAGAAGCAGCAAATATCAGTTATAATGGATTTGGTTTGACCAGGCTAGAGATCAAACCCTTGAACTCTAGCATACAAGGAAAATTTTAGATTAAAGGAATTACTTAATATGTTTCTGTTACAGATCATATCTGTAATTTGTTGGGTAGATGGGTGCTGATTTCAATTAAAGTACATGTGTAACAATATTTTCTTTACAAACTATTTAAAACCAGATCATTTTTTACCCCACATTCAATTAATATACAAAATGTTTTGAAAATGAAGACACAACAAGAAAAAAAAAAAAAGAATTCTGTATTGTAATTTTAGAGCATAAACTCCCTCTAATTCTTTAGAAAAAGATATTACCTTAATGGGGAAATGTTTCGTGTTCTTTAAATATAATAACCTTTGATAATCATAGGTCAGACATTCTGATGAGCAAACATTGTTATGGATCTATCTTCCAACTAAATACATGTAACAGGATGGTCTTTAATGAGTCTGATCCATCCTTTATTTCATCATGCTCATAAAATTTCATTAGCATTGACATTTACCATAAAGCAATGTCCTGAAAATCTGGAAATTTTTAAGTGTGTTTAAAATTACTTGATAGCTCCAAAGTACAGAGTTTATTGCAGTTATGAGGCAGTGATATGAGATTTTCAAAGGCGATTTAAGCTCTTGACATAAATGAAGGTTGGACTGAAAGGTCACTAAAACATTTTGGGATATATTTCCAAGCTGAGATTTGTAATCTGAAATAAGATTGTCTAGTAAATCAGTCTAACAAATAAACTCATAATATATACCAGGCTTAAAATTTTGTATGCTAGATGCAGTCTACAAAGACTAATCTGTTGAGCTCAAATAGAAAAAGTTATTAAGGTCAAATAAAGTACGAAGTTGAAGAGCAAACAGAGTACAACTGTTGAAATATAACATTTGAACGTTGAAATAATTTGAAAAAATTAGGCCTTAATTTTCATAACATGATTGATCATATATTCTCTTACAGGGGATAATTAAGAGTAAGTGGAGACATGGAGCCCACTAAAAGATAGTAACAGGTACCATACAAAATGAGAGATTAAAATTACTTAATTTGCACATGCAATAAGTCAAAACAAAAAATAACCTATTAACTACTCTTGGCAAAATATTTAACAGACCATAGTTGCCATACCCCATATAAATCCAGGGATACATGCGTGTCCGTCTCCATAATGATCAAGTGGCCTTTAGTTACACTTAACTAAAGGTAGCAATACACAGTTAGGAAAAAAACTGAAAATGTCACAAAAGTCCCCAAAATTTGGTCCAAAGAAGAATTTCAATCCATTAGAGTGATACCTTTTCTGAAACTATTGACATTTATCTATCAGGAGGTCCAAAAAAAATCATATGCATTTCACCTCATTTTTCAATAAATTTGAAATGAAAAGTTTGAGGGTCAAATATTTGTTGAAAAACACTACAATAATTTCTGGACCTATATGCAGTAAGGATGTAAAAATACGGACTGTCAAACAGAAAAATTACCTATAAAACATGCAAAAAACAATCTTGATTGTCTTATAAACCCACTTTGAAGGCTATATTATTCTTCAGCTATCTAAAAATCAATTTTATTGCACAAAAAAT